ATATTGGAACACTGCTATCATGTCCCCCCTCATCCTTCTCTTCATTAAACTAGATATACCCAATTCCAGCAGCCTTTCCTTATATGTTTTAGCCTCCAGTCCCCTGATCATCTTTGATGCTCTTCTCTGCATTCTTTCTAGAGTTTCAACATCTTTTTCAACATCGTGGTGACCAAAGCTGGATGCAGTATTCCAAGTGTGGCCTTACCAAGGCTTTATAAAGTGGTATTAACACTTCATGTGATCTTCACATAGATCCATTGTAACTTCAAGCAGTGGCTAAGTGACTAGTTATAACTTGAGGATTACCTGAAAGAGGTTCATTTATCAAGATGTTAAGGGTTTTTTTTCTTACCAACTCCTTGTTTTTCATACATTTCTTTGAAAAAACTTGGAATATATTGAAGCCAAAATTACAAGACTATATCTGATTTACATGGCCATGTCATGGGTGCAAACTCATTGGAGAAGGCAATGATGCTAGGAATGGTTAGTGGAACAAGAAGAAGGGGCAAGCAAAGAACAAGCCAGCTTGATACCATCAAAATTGATACAAAGATGAACATTCAACAAGTGAAAGAAGCTGTGCTTAACAACGTAGCATGGAAAGTACTTGCCTATAAAGTCACCAAGAGTCAGATGCTATTGAACAGTTAAAACTACTACTACTACTATATAGATTTTGAATTTCCCCACCACACAAGGTAGGCTTGCAAGGGAGAACGGGACTGATTCAAAGACCCTGTAGACTTCATTACTCAGCAGAGATTTCAAACTAGTGCAAAAGTGACATCAGTCTATGGAAGATTCTACACAGCGAGGGTAGATTGTTCGGTTAGATTGTTCAGCCATTGGAGAACAGCTTGCCTGACAAGTTGTGATGGAATATCGTATGAAAGTGGATTCCCTGGAGAGAATTTATATTCCTTGTAGTTATCTCGTCATTAGCACTCTTTCTAAGAGTTGTTGAGGCCACTTGGAGATTTATCTGTGCCCTATAGATAGACCACAGATAAACCTCCAAGTGGCCTCAATGACTCTCAGACATGGAGCACACAGATAAACCTCCAAGTGGCCCAAATGACTCTCAGACATGGAGGCACAGATAAACCTCCAAGTGGCCTCAATGACTCTCATGTGGAGGGCACAAATAAACCTCTAAGTGGCCCCAATGACTCTCAGACGTGGAGGGCACAGATAAACCTCCAAGTGGCCCAATGGCTCTCATACTTGGAGGACACAGATAAACCTCCAAGTGACCTCAATGACTCTCAGATGTGGAGGGCACAAATAAACCTCCAAGTGGCCCCAATGACTCTCAGACGTGGAGGGCACAGATAAACCTCCAAGTGGCCCAATGGCTCTCATACTTGGAGGGCACAGATAAACCTCCGAGTGACCTCAATGACTCTCAGATGTGGAGGGCACAAATAAACCTACAAGTGGCCTCAATGACTCTCAGATGTGGAGGGCACAGATAAACCTACAAGTGGCTCCAATGACTCTCAGACGTGGAGCGTACAGATAAACCTCTAAGTGGCCTCAATGACTCCCAGACATGGAGGGCACAGATAAACCTCCAAGTGGCCCCAATGGCTCTCATACTTGGAGGGCACAGATAAACCTCCAAGTGGCCTCAATGACTCTCAGATGTGGAGGGCACAAATAAACCTCCAAGTGGCCCCAATGGCTCTCATACTTGGAGGGCACAGATAAACCTCCAAGTGGCCCCAATGGCTCTCAGACATAGAGCGCACAGATAAACTTCCAAATGACTCTCAAACATGGAGGCACAGATAAACCTCCAAGTGGCCTCAATGACTCTCATGTGGAGGGCACAAATAAACCTCTAAGTGGCCCCAGTGACTCTCAGATGTGGAGCGCACAGATAAACTTCCAAGTGGCCCCAGTGACTCTCAGACGTGGAGCGCACAGATAAACCTCCAAGTGCCCCCAATGGCTCTCAGACCTGGAGGGCACAGATAAACCTCCAAACATTAACAATTCTCAAAAAGTGTGCTAACGATCAGATGACTGCAAGGAATATAAATCCTTCCATTCTTCACCATTCAATCAGAACTGAAGAAGCTTCTTGGATGAGAAGAAAAGGAAAAACAAAGTCCAGTTGCCTTTTGGGTTTATTTAAAATTGTTGCCTTAGTCAGCCCTGTATTCTGTCTAGTTTGCCCTGAGGCATCACACCTAAAGAAGATGTGCAAATACTATAACGAGAAGAATTCATATTTTGTCCTTGACTTGTGCCACACTTACACACTAGCTCATTTCTATCAACTGCTGTAATTTTGTCAATTTACACCCCACACACCAAGAGCCTAGTGCTTCAGGCCATTTTCCAATATGCAGTTTTAAAAAAAATAATATTTGCTTGAAGTTGTCTCAATATTGCCTAGATTTAGAAGTGTAATAATGCATAAAAATGCTATCCAGAGAGATTTTAGCTATGAAATATACAAGGCAAAGCTCCACGCAAAGAATGTAATGATCTGTGGATCAGTGTCACATATCTGCAAATCTACTTTTTAACAGAAAATTCGCATTTGTTTTCATTGAAACTTTTACTTCATTTAATGGGAGCAATTTTTATGCTAATAACTGCCCTCAATACCAATGGACTTTGTTCTAATTATCACTAATACAACCCTTTTCGGCACACAGGTTTACAACAGAACTCTTCAAAATACACACTTGTGTTTTTGTATGCAACTTTAGAACTATGAACGATGGTGCACAGATGGTGTTTTACGGCCGTGTGTGTCCCACCAAATCCGTGTTGTCAGATCAAAACATTCAGTACTAAGGAAAATTGTGATAACTTTCTTTGCATCCTTAAAATAATGCATTATCAACCCTATAAATATGATGGTGGATGGGAAGCTTATCTGTTTATCTCATGGAAGGACATTTCTCTTAAATGCTAGACCATGCTCTATATTACAAAGATGTATTTATTATACCCTCTAAACCAGACATGTCAAACACAAGGCCCGGGGGCCGGATGCGGCCCGTGAAGTGGTTTCATGTGGCCCATGAAGCAATCCTGGAAACAGTGAGGGAACAGCCCCCTCTGCCTTGGCCCTGGCCCAGGCTGGCCAGGAGCCAATGCACAATTTTGTGATGGCCATCTATGTGAAACGCATTCAGTCTTAGCTCCATAAGCCCCCCCCCCGCATGGGAGGAACAGTGAGGCTCCTCCAGTGGACCATGCCTTGGCACTTGCCTTGGTCCCACCCCCTTCTGCCAGAGACCATCAGATTTATCCCACTCCTGCCCAGGCTCCCACAGGCACCCTTGACGCAAACGATGTAGAGCTGGCCACGCCCACCCAGTAGACCGCATCCAACCAGGCCACACCCACTTGGCCCCCTGAGGGCAACCACAATGCTGATGCGGCCCTCAATGAAATTGAGTTTGACACCCCTGCTCTAAACAGAGGCATAGAAAGTATATCTTGTGAACCTCAGAACCATTCTTTAAGGTAGAATGAAAGAATGTGTCAGGTCCAGATGATCAAATTTTAGAATTTTTTATTTATTCCCACCTTACTGTTCATCAGGCAAATTCACGCTTACTCCTTACATTCAACACCCTGCTTTTTCTTACACTTTATATGATACGTTATATACCAGATTCTGAGCAGTCTGTCATTTCTTCATATTTCATTGAAAAACTTCTCATTCTACATTAGAACAATTAACCAGTGGAACAACAACCTGCCTCCAGAAGCGGTGAATGCTCCAGCACTGGAAGTTTTTAAGAAGAGCCTGGACAGCCATTTGTCTGAAATGGTATAGGGTTTCATGCCTGAACAGGGGGTTGGACTAGATGACCTCCAAGGTCCCTTCCAACATTATTACTATTATTATTACACATCACAGTGTAACTCTTCTGCAGTACAGTAATCTGAGTCAGCAAATATTTCCAAAAATATACCCACCATGTTTTTTTTAACTTCCACCCTACTACATGGATGCTGGGCCGAAGTTAACCCAAATCACAAACCCAGATTCTTGTTGGTGATCTGTTGCTGTCACTGATGTCCAAAAACAAATTCAGCTACTGCATGCCACCCACCCCAAAATATTCATTTCCAACGAATCATTAAATTCCATCTTCTCGTGTCATACCCTTGCATCCTACCATACTGTATTTTCCAATCTTCTCATTGGAGTGTTTATTCTAAGTGTCAGTACCATTTCAATAGGATTGCAGGTGTTAAACTAAGAAATGCTCTTATTCCCACACACGTGGGTGTGCAGATGTGTCCACATGTTTGTCCATAGCCAGAAATATCAGCGCCCACAATTATACAGTACCATTTATTAAATCCTTAAAGAAGATGACAGGAGATATTCCTAGTAGGTAAAGTAAACAGATTCCCCTAACAATACTGGAGATATCAAGAGGACATAACTAAACTTCAGCTAACTGACAATTAATAGGCTTATCAGTCGAGGGAAAGATAGAACATAGAATCATAGGGCTGGAAGAGACCTCAGAGATCTTCTAGTCCAGTGTTTCCCAATCTTGACAATTTTAAGGCATGTGGACTTCAACTCCCAGAATTCCACAGCTGTGGAATTCTGGGAGTTGAAGTCCACATGCCTTAAAATTGTCAAGATTGGGAAACACTGTTCTAGTCCAACCCTCTGCTCAGGGCAGGTGACCTTACCATTCCAGTCAAATGATTGTCCAGTCTATTTTTGAAAACCTCCAGTGATGGAGCACCCACAAACCCAGGAGACAAGGTATTCTACTGATTAATTATTCTCAACCATTGATGGAAAGGGAACCACTGTTCATTTTAGGTCCTCTTCCTTCTGCCCCACCCATGGATGGGTCTCTCAATCCTGGGATGGAGAGAACAGGATGAAAGCACTTTACTTGGAAAGAAAGACCCCCTGTACAATTATGCCAAGAAGTTGGCTGTTTTTTGTTTTTTTTATCTCTGGCTTCCTCACCCACCAAGGCACCTGCACCTACCTGGAACATGGGGGAACGTCTCTTGCGTCGTTGCAGCGTGCAGGCCAGCAGCTCTGCAAAAAACTTTGCCATATACAAAGAGGGTTAGACGCAGCCCGCCTGGATGATCCTTTGGAAGCTCAAATGAGAGGACACTTCCTTATGGCCACGGCATCCAACGGGGAGGCATTTTAAACCAGATTCTTCCTGCTCCCGCATTGTGCCAGGAGACAGATGCCCAAGCTGCAAGGGATCCCCTCCCAAATGGACTGCTAAAAAGCAGCCTTAGCCACTCCTACTCCCCCCCCCCATTAAAAACCCAGGCAGAAGGGAAGGGAATAAATCCACAGAGATTGGCTTTCGGTTGCGGGCTTCCAAGCTTTCTTACTGAAATGTCAGGATGGCTACAGCGGAAAAGGAGAGGGCCCTGCAAGGGGGAGTCAAGAGGGACAATCCTTAAGGCACATGAAAGAAACATGGGGAGGGGGAGGAAGAGGAGGAGGAGGAGAAGAAGGAGGAGAAGAAGAAGAAGAAGAAGAAGAAGAAGAAGAAGAAGAAGAAGAAGAAGAAGAAGAAGAAGAAGAAGAAGAAGAAGAAGAAGAAGAAGAAGAAGAAGAAGAAGAAGAAGAAGAAGAAGATGGAAGGGACCTTGGTGGTCATCTAGTCCAACCCCCTGCTCAGGCAGAAAACCCTATACATTTCAGACAAATGGCTGTCCAGTCTCTTCTTAAAAACTTCCAGTATTGGAGCATTCACGGCTTCTGGAGGCAGGTTGCTCCACTGGTTAATTTTTCTCGCTGTCAGGAAATTTCTCCTTGTTCTAGGTTGCTTCTCTCCTTGCTTAGTTTCCATCCATTGTCTCTTGTCCTGCCTTCAGGTGCTTTGGAGAATAGCTTGACTCCCTCTCCTTTGGGGCAACCCCTGAGATATTGGAACACTGCTATCATGTCACCCCTTGCCCTTCTCTTCATTAAACTAGACATAGCCAATTCCAGCAACCGTCCCTTATATGTTTTGACCAGCTCAAGGTTGACTCAGCCTTGCATCCATCTGAGGTTGGTAAAATGAGGAGCCAGATTGTTGGGGGTCAATATGCTGACCCTGTAAACTGCTTAGAGCAGTGGTGGTGAACCTGTGGCACACATGCCAGAGGCGGCACTCAGAGCCCTTTCTGTGGGCACATGCACCATTGCCCAAGCCCTGTCTCCCCCCATGGCTCCCTCCTCACCAGCAACCCCCCCCAGAGGAGAGTCGCCCCCGGGTGCAGCCTGCACGAAGCAGCGCAGTCAAGGACATGGCAGCGGGGCAGTAGGGACAAGACTCCGCCCTAGCGCCCCATCGTGCACAGATGCTGCGGTGTTCTCGTCAAGCATTGCTGGGCGATTTTGCAGATGCCGAGAGGGGAAATCTAAGGGGTAGCAAATGCCTGCTTGTATCAGGAAAGAAAGTGAGGGAAGTTAGCCCAGAGAAAGAAATATTAAAAAGGGCAGAAAAATATATTTTTCCTCAAAAGGACTTTTTAAAACCAAACCTGGCCCCAAATCTATCTCTCTGTCCCAAGCAAGAGCTAGGCCCGTACAAATGCAGATGTAAAACCATCAGAAAGTTGGAGCCAGAGCAATCAAGAAGACAAAAGAGAAGATCTGCATGCCCCACCCAAACTCTAGGAGTCATTAGCCCCATCACCTGGGAAGCAGGATATGATAATAGAATTAAACCACAAATATCAAGGCCTAGACAAACACTCAAACAGCCTCAAAGTTCATGCCACAGGAACAAGAAACTATTCCAAACAAGGCTAGAGGGGGCATAAAAGCCTACTACCCCATGTGCTCTCCCCTTCTCTCCTCTGCACTTTCCTGAAGAACCATCTTTCTGCAATAAACTGTAACCTTCTTCCCAAAGCAGTCACCATGTTTGCTTATTTATTCCCGGCTTGGATGAACCAGGATGAAGACTTACTTCTAACAAAAGTTAGATGGGCAGCTGCTTCCTGCCAGAGCAAACTCTACAGATTCCCATTCGGAGGGGCAGGGTGGCAGGGAGTGACCGAACCCCTAGGAAGGGAGAAAGGAACACCTGATGCCGTCCATTTCAGGAATTAGCAAGGATGTCCACGTGGCAAGCTATCCTGCTCAAGTACAGGTAGTCCTCGACTTATGACCACAATTGAGCCCAAAATTTTTGTTGCTAAGCAAGACAGTTAAGCGAGTTTTGCCCCATTTCATTGCCCACAGTTGTTAAGGGAATCACTGCAGTTGTTAAGTTAGTAACACGGCTGTAAAATGAATCCAGCTTCCCCATTGACTTTGCTTGTCAGAAGGTTGCAAAGGGGGATCACGTGACCCCGGGACACTGCAACCATCATAAATACATGCCAGTAGCCAAGCATCCAAATTTTGATCCTGTGACCAAGAGGATGCTGGAATGGTCATAAGTATGAAAAACAGTCATAAGTCACTTTTTTCAGTGCCATTGTAACCTTGAATGAATGAATGAATGAATGAATGAATGAATGAATGAATGGTTGTAAGTCTTGGCCCTTTTATGACTTGTGGACTTCAACTCCCAGAATTCCTGAGCCAGCGTGCCTGGCTGAGGAATTCTGGGAGTTGAAGTCCACAAGTCATAAAACGGCCAAGTTTGAAGACCTCTGGGGCAAGGGGTCCAAAAAGTCAACAGCATAGACATAATCATAGCCATCATGTGTATTGCGTGGGTCAGAAGGAGGGCTGAGAAAATAACTACCGACCCCTCACATTCTGGATATAAACTCTTATATAAACTCCTCCCTTTGGGATGGCATTACAGGGCACTGCATGCCAAAACAACTAGACACAGAGACATTTTTTCCCCTTGTGCCATCGCTCTGCTGAACACCTAATCCTCACAGCACTGTCCCAAGTATATTTACCCATGTAGTATGGCTGTAGTATTATCATGATCCATCTCATCTTTACTACCCCCTCTTATTGGGATCCTTACTATGATTATTGTTATTCTCTTGCTTTGCATGTACACTGAGAGTTTATACACTGGAGACAAATTCCTTCTCTGTCCATTCACACTTGGCCAGTAAAGAATTCTAGTCTATTCTAGTCTATTCTAGTCTAGTCTAGTCTAGTGCTATTCTATTCTATTCTATTCTATTCTATTCTATTCTATTCTATTCTATTCTATTCCCATGGGATCAAAGCCCTGTCCCCATGTTTAAATGCACTGTAGCACATGTAAAAAGGGGTGGAGCTTCATTTGCATTACTGTGGCTACCATCTTCACTTTTTTGACCTTCCTGAGACACCTCTGCAAATCATAACGGGCAGAAATTCACTGCTTTATTTGCTTTTCTATTGTTTGCTGCACAGTGGGTTACGGAAAGGACATCCATGGGCTTTTCCACCTCGTGTACAGAAATAACTATGCTGCTTATGCCTCTTGATGGACGGCTATTTATTTATTTTTTGTTTCTTCTATTTATGTCATTTACTTTCCACTTCTATTGTGTCTAAATGGCTCGTTTTATTCTCATTTAAAAATACCTGCGAGGTGTTTGAATTTGAGAACTCCAGTCTCGCTCAGACACTTAAGCACTAAACCATAATGGCTCTCAGTAGGACACCTACTCAGTATGTAGTAGAGCGGTACTATTCTCCTTAAAGCAGTGAATGCAGTGGAAATGAATCAGAGTTTCTCATTAGGGTTAGATGCAAGTCTATGTTTGAACCTAACAAGCAAAAGTAACGTTCAGCTTAGACCTTAAACAATTGATAAGAAATCTCAGATGAAGAGTCAGGATTTTCCTCCCGTAAAAACAAAAAGAAAATCCAAACAAAACAAAAATGAAATGAGCAAATTTCGCACGTCCTTATGTAATATGTAGGTGTCTTCCACCCGTGCATTGATTAAAATGCTAGATTTTTCTGAATACCCCAAAACCAAGATTTTTGTTGTTCACATTTACCCAATCGATCAATAAAGGGGCTAGCGAGGTGAAGAATCTCACTAATTCAGGATTGCTAACCTTGGTTTGTTTTGTTTCTGTTCTAACACAGGTAATCCTCGACTTACAACCATTCATTCATTCATTCATTCATTCAAAGTTACAATGGCACTGAAAAAAGTGACTTATGACTGTTTTTCACACTTATGACTATTTGACCCTCTTGGTCATGGGATCAAAATTCGGACGCTTGGCAACTGGCATGTACTTATGATGGTTGCAGTGTCCCGGGGTCATGTGATCCCCTTTTGCAACCTTCTGACAAGCAAAGTCAATGGGGAAGCCGGATTAATTTTACAGCTGTGTTACTAACTTCACAACTGCAGTGATTCACTTAACGACTGTGGCAAGAAAAGTCATGAAATGGGGCAAAACTCACTTAACTGTCTTGCTTAGCAACGGAAATTTTGGGCTCGATTGTGGTCATAAGTCGAGGGCTACCTGTACTTGAGCAGGACAGCTAAGGAAAATTTAAGCCTGTCTTCCTCGTGGGGCGAAGATGAGAAGTGGTTATACTATGGGGAGGAAAAGACATGGTTTAGGTGCCAATGGAAACTTGAGCATGTTTATCCACCTGCTTGATTGAGTTTCTATTGTTCTGCCTTTCTTTAGACACTCATGTTCTGATCGATTTTTCCTATGCTATGGATCAACCCATCCCATGGAGGGGAAGGGTGACCTTTTGCATCCAGAAGCTACATTTAATATGGGAAAGAGGCAAATGATCCCTAGTATGCAGGCCATAACAGGCCAATGGGCAGATCTGCAGTCTTCCTTTCCATAGGGTGCAATAGGACTCTAGAGTGGTGGTGAACCTATGGCACACGTGCCTATGGCGGCACTCAGAGCCCTCTCTGTGGGCACGCGCACCATCACCCCAGCCCTGCCTTCCCCTGCGGCCCCCTCCTCATCAGCAGCCCCCCCGGAGAAGAGTCACCCCTAGGTGTGGAGCAGTGCAGCCAAGCACATGGCAGCTGGGCAGCAGGGACAAGACTCCACCCTTGCACCCCTCACGCACAGATGATGTGGGACGTGGGTGGAGGGCGTGGCCACCATGGCACTGTAGGGACACCTGAGTGATCTGCGGTGGGCCGTGGAGATGGTGGGTGGCCCGGCAGGTGAGGCAGGGTGGAGCGGGCAGGACAGAGCAATGGGGGGGCAGGATGGTTTTGGGGCACTCGGTCTCTAAAAGGTTCGCCATCACTGCTCTAGAAGCTTTGTGTATTTGTGCTTAAAAAATGTTTGG